TGACGCCTTGATAATTACATCCAAAGGTTAAAACAAAGCAGACCTTTGCAGCCTCTGCTGAAGCACAGCTGTGGGGCCAAGAGCCTTTGAGTATCATCTTAGCTGTGGGAACCGACGTAATTTCATAAGCTGAAGCTAGGGAGCAGATAATTCAGAGATTCTCTCTGTTTTAAGTTAATTACTAGAAAATAACATTGGAAGTATGAAAGTTTTCTGATTTGTTAAATGCCTCTTACACAAGTACGTTCAAACAGCATGTACTTTCTTATGCTGGAAAAAATACGCAAACAGGTTTCAAGTACAGGGTAACTCAGGGCAGAGTTGTCTACTACAGCAAGTGCATGCCACTGTAGATCAACTTCGGCACTCCAGGGTGAAAATGTAATGTACCTGGGCTCCAGCACCGCAAACACTGCCGATGCCAAGGCACTTCAACAGGGTAATTAAGACATTTGTCTTCTGGAACTGCCTGTTCCTTTGTTTCACTGTTCCCTGTTAACTTGAAACTTCCCCTGACCCACTTAGCCAAAGCCTAAGGCACGGCTGGAATCCACTCAGGATGTGCCAACATAAAGATTTCAGGAATTCTGTGTGCAACAAAGGCAGCCCAAGCCCCCGACGGCGGGGGCATGCGCTGGCCAGGGGACCCGCCTCCCCTCCCCCCGGAATAACCCGAGTAAATAAACACCCCGACTCGCCGGTGACATCTCTCCCACTTTCCACGTAGTATCGCACTCTACCGGAAAGTACTTAACACGGAAAAAGTCACCGAGAGCCGCTTAATCCCGTTAGAGAAAAGCCGATCCCCGGCCGAGCCCGGCTGTTCTCGCCGCCCAGGTGCGGGACCGGACTGGGGGGGCCCCGCGGGGGCGCGGCGGGTCCGGCTCCCGCGGACAAAGGAGGCAAAGCGCGCCCGAGGAGCGCAAGCGAGAGGGCGATAAAACCCAAAGCACAAGAAAGGAACGAGGATAAGCCGGGCAACTCGTGGCCGTAGCGCGGCCCCCAGGGCGGGGAGCGGAGGCACCGGCCGCGGGGGACAAGGACTGCCAGGGGGCACAGCACCTGCCCGGGGAGAGGGAAGCGGCGGGGAGTGCGAGTTCGGGGTGGGGATATCCCGCGGGGATACTCGCCTGCTCGAGGAGGGCGTCCGGCAGCGGGAGCAGAGATCGCAGAGGCGCCCCGCCGCCCCGGAGCGGGCAGCGACGGGGGCGTCGAGTCCGAGTGCGGGGCCGACGCTGAGGCTGGCTCCGGGTCCGCTGTGGCCGCTCCGGCCGAGTCGGGCGATTTCCTGCGGGGCGCGGGCGGGGGCGGCGCGGCCACGCCGGGGCGGGCTCCCGCCGCAGGTGCCGGCCTCACCCCCAGGTAGGGAGGGGAAGGATGGGGAGGGCAGAGAACGACAGGGGAGGGGCGGTGGCCGCCGGACGGGACGGGCAGCGCGCCCCCTCCTTAGGCGTGTCCCCACCTGCGGCTGCCGCCTCTACAGTCCAGGGGTGCCTTCGCCCGGCTCCCCCGGCCCACGCCCGCACACACCAACACCCGCGGCGGCGGCAGGAGAACAGGAAATACCGGTCGCAGCCCGGTGCTCCGCGCCGCTGAGTCACCGCGGCGAGGCCGCCCCGCCCCCGGCTTTTCTCTGTCCGTCCCGTCACCCGGCAGGGGACCCCGGCCGCGGTCCCGGCTCTGCCCGAGGCACCCCGCGCCGGGCCCAGGCAGCAGAGCGGACCTGCGGGCGGCACGGCGGAGCCCTGTCGCCGCTGGCAGGGCGCACCGTCACCCAGCCCAGCGCTTGGGTGTGTTTTCCGTTTACATCAGTGTTTTGTTTGGAACTTGGGATCACTGCCCATCTGAACCCTTCTAACGGCAAGACCTCTGAGACAGCCTTTAACACCACAGCGCAGTGTTCCACGTAGGCCTCTCAATCTGCTTTTCCCTGCCCTTTGTCACAGAATAGTTGCGGTCACTTTACTGACAGTTCGGGGGGGCTCTGCCCACATCATCACTCAGTTGAAATATACAAGATTAACACAAGTCAGAGTAGTTCCATTTCCAGGCCGGAACACTCCGCCTCACTCTCAAAGTCCACCAATACTGCTCCCGAAACTGTAACATATTATGAGAGAAATACACTCCAGGCTGGCATTCCACAGGTATCAGCTTTCGGCATCACTGCTGTCCTGCAGCCGAGATGAGAAAGGCAAAACAGCCCTGGCAGGATTCTTTGGAGTCATATTTCTTTTGCATTGTAAAGCACTAAACGTCATCAGGAATTCCTTATCTACCGCCTTATCTGGTGGGCAGTTAAACCCCCTGCAAGCCCCTCTAAAATTAAACAGCTCACTCCCAACCCTATCAGGCCTGCAGAACAAAAATCTTAGAAGTTTTCTGGTTTGTTGCTATTTGCAGGTGAGAAATATAATAGATTCCCATAACATTTCTAATTCAAATAAATTTCTTTCTCAACAGGTAGAGTTCATGCACTATGTCTCATACAGAAAGTAAGATAAGGAAGGCAAACAGTGTTCTTCATTAAGGGGCTGGACTTTGGAAGGAGGCCCTGAAAGAACCTATTTTATTACAGCAAATATGAAACTGCATTCAGACACTGTATGGAAAAAGCCTGCTTGTAGCTATTGTTAATAATTAACATGCATGTGCATAACTGGCCTTCAAGCACTTATTTCAGTCTAAAAGCCCCAACAGCAAAAATCGGAGAGGGGAAAATACAAAAAAAAAGACTAATTCGGGGCTAATTCCTAAACTTGGTATTTTCAGTCAGCTAGACTAATTCTATGATCAGCATGTAATACAATATTGCTTTCAGGCAGAATCAAGGCACAAGAAACTGAAATTTAGTTTTACTTCCAGGTATGTGTCAGATGACTTGGTTTACTCTGTGGTGGGTGCCTGTTTCCTTAATCAATGTTTTAAAACTTCATCTCTTAGTTCTCCAAATCTTCTGCAACAGTGGCCTTAGGACACTTGGTTAATGTTTCTAAAATGTTGTTAGGAGGAGTAAGACTAAATACAGTACGACAGAAGAGAACATTGAAAGAAGAGCCTACATCTGGAAAGTAACGTTTGCAAAATTATTCATTGTGTTACTGATCACTTTTACCACGATACAAACAATTTTAAAATCAATTCAGCAAACTGGAGAGGGCAGCAACATTATATGCTTTATTTTAAACATCTATTGTTTTCTTATCTAAACTTATCTGTCTTTCATTAACCTGAATTTAAAAAAAGTTTGTAATCAGGAGTTGTTTAGAATACTTTAATTGTTCATGGCTCTGTTTTTCCTATCCCCAACAAAGCAGTCTCCACTGGCCATCTCCCTCAGTGAAAGACATGAATACTATCTTTGTTCTACAACTGCTACCAGTACAATTTGCATAAAAGACAATTTGGGAGAGAAATGGATGTAACACCACAGAATTTCTTCTTATCTTTATACAGGAATTTTAAAAATCCCAATAGCAAAATGGACTGGAACATGTTTGATTGGTTACAATTATAAATACTGGTGTGGGGTAAATTTAAAACACCATTCCCTAAAGAGCCACATGAAGTAGTTTGCCCCATGTCTCGCCTTGCCAATGACATCAGCCGTTGGGGAAAGCTAATTTCTTCCTGATAGCCTTCGCTTCTGCTCCTCCCATGCTTCCTTCACTATTTTGAATGTTCTTCCAGGTTTTTGGCAAGCCTTTACCTTCCTTCCCAGGACTTCCACATATTACAGAGCTGATTAGCACCATCATGGCACTCAACCACTAACCAGAAGCTAAAAATAATCAAAAAAACTTTCTTGTAAACCCCTTTTTCTTATTCTGCTTTCTCCCCTTCAGGACAGGCCTTTATTCTATTTATTGAAGCTGCCAAAAGACACTGGTAATTTTAAGGAAATAAGATGTAATGATTTTATCACATGGAACAATCTTGCAAAGAAGGGGTAACGTTTTCTTTTAAATTACCCACAAATGGAAAAGAAAACAAACAAACACCAAACAAAAACTTAGGCACATTACTCCTGGCAAACAAAGGTGATATTTTGTGATCAATGCAGACTGTGTACAATTCCGGTAGGCTTGACTACATGAAGGAACTGAGACTTCCAAAGGAAGTCCTGGCACACAGGGAGTAATGAATTTTAGAAAGACTGGACATACTAGGTCTTTCAGAGTGTAAGCCAAAACCATTTAAAAAAAGGGTCAGATTAGCAGTTGGTGAAAATTCTGATATACCTAAAAAAAGCCCAACAAACCCCAGTTTATGTGCTGAGCTTGGGCAGCCAGTAAAGCTATGTATGGCAATACTCATGCTTCCAAAATATTCTGCATGCTCTCCTTCACCGACAATGGAGGAACTACATTGTGGGAAAAAGTAATGCCCGTAACATAGTGCTTCTTATTGATACTGTCTGTGCATAGTCTATATTTAATGACTGTCCTTCAGCTATTTCTTTTGGGAGAGGTGAAGTAAGAAACTATGTAACAATCTTTTTATTCTGTAAGCTATGGAAGTAAAAAACAGCACAGAAAGTGTTACTTGTCTTGGGGCAATAAACAGTCTGACATTAGGATCAGAGCTCATTCGGTGCCTCCATTGCACGAGTGTGACAGCTCATGGGAGTCCTTGCCCCTACTTACAATTTGATGCAAGTATTAGAGCAAAAAATGAGTCATGCCCTATGATTCATTTTGTACATCAAGATAAAACTCATTCTAACTTGCTGACACTATTTATCTTTACCAGTTAAGATTAAATCAATTTGTTACTCAGATACCTAAACCCAGGAAATTGTTTGCATAAATAGCAGTAGCGTTACAGATGAAGGGCAAGGCATGTAAACCGTGAAAGCTGAACTGCTCTTATAAAATCCACCTTGACTGGCCACACTTGGACAGAATCTTTCATGTTTCATGTTTTAAGAAGCAGAATTCAAAAGTATGCACGTCTGTGGCCCTCACCCTTATCAACAAATCCTCAAATCACACCTATATATAATGAATTAAGAATTCTACATGTAATTTTATTTTGGTATAAACATTTCTACCAGATGTAAGAGAATGGAGAATGAACTTCCAAATATAAATCAGACGCATGTTAGTGGTCATATTGCATGCAAATACTTAAGAAAATAATTTTTGGAAGAGTCAATTGGAAAAAATAATTACACATGGTCAGGCAAAGGAACAACCAGGTATCCTCGATTCAAATATCAAGTCATTAACTTCTAAGCAAACGTGTTTAAATAATTATCTTAAAATGCAGGAGAATGAGCTAAATATTATAAAAGTAACTACATAAAAATATGTATTTGCATATGCTATAAATTATCTTCAGTGTTCTAAATTCAGAACAGCAAAAACATATTCTATTTTTACCTCCCTGTACTTTTTTAAAAAACATGCTTTACTCTTACATTCATGAGATCTGGGAATCTTTGTATCTACCTCATCCAGTAGAGCTGAAATTTATATTGATTGTATGCAAACAGCATGCACCATTAACCAAGAGCTACTTCCACTGAAACCTTTCTGTTTAGTAGTGGGAAATAGCAGGTAACAATGCTTATATTCTAAATGCAAATACTGGACAAGAACACTTTACAGTTACTGTTTTTCAATGACAAAATCAATCCTTACCTGTTAAAATAGCTAGAGAATCATGCCAAACTAACCACAACATCAGAGATACCAAGAAGAAAAATACTGTGCACTTAACATCTTTTCGTACAATCTGCAAGAGTATGGTATAACTTCTCCCTCGTGCACTAATCAACAACTTGGTCCTTCCACTTCATAGGCAGTTAAAACCTGCAAGTTGTAATATCACAACAGTGCAACTGCCGAAGTATTGCCATTCATGATTTCTTTAAAATGTTTTTGTTGTAAGATCTGGAGTATATAGTTTATTTCCTTCACATATTTAATAGCCTGATGAAGACAGCTTCATCAGCCTAAGAACAAGACTTGATTCTAAGAAATCTCTGCATCAGCATGGTGCCAGTGGGAGCCTTGCTCTATCATGGTAATACAAGATAATCTAAAACCACTTAAGAAATGCAGTAGAATAAATTAGTGCAAATTTTCACTACCATGAACTTAATTTTTTGCTCAGCTAAAAAGAAAGGAAGTATTTTTACTCTTTGAAGAACAAAGAACTTTCATTACAAGCATTATGACACGTTAAATATGACTATGATGTGTACAAGAGCCACAAATTTTGAGGCAATACATTCATAGTACCAGTACATAGTCAATGTAACTCACAGGCATATCTTGTTTCAGGTGAATGTTTCACCAGAAGTTCAGTGTTTGTGTGCTGGTCAGAAGTCACTAGATGGTCAGTCCTTACATGCAAACAAAAAACTCAAGACTTCTGCAAAAAGAAAGCAAGAAATGAAGTGACAGGATGGGTGACCTCAACCACAGGTACTAACTACATGGGCACAGATTCAAACAGCACACAGAAATCCAAAGACTGAGCACTAGAGAAAAAATATATTATTTTCATTTTTGTTGCACAACATACTGATGCCAAGAAAAAACAACAGAATTAAACTCAGGTACTTCAGCTCAAGAAAGAGCTTCGCTTGAGGTTAAAGTCTTTAAACTTCCATGAGGTAGAATACAATCAAGTATCTTCTTTCCCAGAATATATTAAGCAGGACAAATCCAATTTAGTTTTTAAAGCTGTTGAAAGTTCTTTTGATAGTAGTTCATGAAGAGATACTCTGTCATGAGAATATACCCAATTCCGTCCAGTCCAGTCATAGCGTTTGGGCCCACTAGAAAAAAAACACAACAAAACATCACATACTGTGTAAGTACAGATTATTTCGGGAGACCTGCTGGAAGCCTGTATGTCTAATGTGTGCCACAGAGTGCCTAGGAAAAGGAATAGGTAACATGGGGAACAGGGCTAGGCAGTCTGAGGAAGTGGAGCAGAAAAGGCCTGATATGTCAAGAACTACTGAGCCATCAAACAGATATATCTGAAAAGTGACAAGATACATCCATCACTCCTAGGGGAGACAATCACTTTCCCTTCCTGCTTTTGACACTGATTTCCCCACAATTTTTTCCTTTATCCCATTCTTCCCTCACAGATATAATTTTCTTGCACATAAATATCACACCAGATATTTGTATAATGCTGAATTAATGCCACCGATTAGTTCTTGCAGATATTCTAAGAACAGCAAAGCACAAGTAATTTCATTTTAGATACAACAAAATAAGTTAGGCCCTGAAAGCAAATACATTGGCATGTGGGAGATTTATAACTAAAATGCTATTATATTGTTACTGGCTAGATTTTTCCAGGCCTACACTAAGTAGCAAGAAAGAAACTTGAACACATGGGTTCTATTCCGGACCTTGCTATCCACCCAGTTTTCCACATGTCAAATGGGAGAATGATTGAAAGGTACTCACTGCTGATAACATCAGCTAAGCAAAGAAAACAGAAAGGAATGAAATGGTCATCTGGGATAAATGGAGAAACCCCTGATCTTGTAGGACACATGCCTTGGAACTCAGTCAACACCAAAGTCTGCTAGAAAACAGACTATCCTATGCATACATAAGAACAATCTGCAGGTTCTCTCTTTACAAGCAGCAACACTGATCTGAACCTTGACTATCCTGAGTTACAATAGTGAAATGGTGAACTTTCCAACCACTAATCAGTGTACGAGAAGTTATAAAGGCAAGCACAAATCCAAGTCACTTTCACTGAAATCTCAATGTCTGTATCAGAAGTGGTAACTGAATCAGGGTTATGTGCTCCAGTTATTTTATTAAATATTTCTCACTTTCTGCAGCACTTATACTCTCCTGCACCTAGAGACCGATGGAATGGGATCCAGTCATTCATGAAAATCAGGTCAAGACAGACCATTTCATCAATGAAAAAGAAATATGTATGTTATCTAAACTGGTTTTAAATGTTATGCAGTAAATATCAGTGAAAAGGTTAGCATATGAAGCACCTTCATAGTTGAAGTAGGAATCTCCAAAACACTGTACAAATATGACTTTCAAATTAATAGTTTAAGCAAAGATCTGGTGAATTCTATAAACTGCCTACCAAGTTAAATATAGATTAAATGTATTTCTCGTGGCACGTCTGCATATACGTTTCAATCATAAGAGAAAAGAATTAAAATATCACATTAAGGTATTGATAATATTCTGTAAGGTTGAAAAGTCTTTTCCATCAGGAGCTACATTAAATTACTGCAATCACACTTCTGCCAGGTTGCACACAACCCCTCATGCCCTGCCCTTTTTTTTGTAACTGTCAACTAAATAAAGTTTTCACTTAGGTGCACAGATACTCAATAGCAAACAGATGGCAAAAAAAAATTCCAAGAAAAATGTCTCACGTCTTGACAAATTTTTCTCCCTTGGGATATATTCTTAAAGACTCAAGGTCAATATTGGCAGCAACATTTGCTTCTTTCACTTCCCAGCACATTGCAGTTAAGAAGATGACAGTTCAGATCATATAGTACCTGCTGGAGCTGCCTTTCAGAAGTTAGGAAACAAGTGAACACATACCATCATGTTCCAGGAAATATCCCTCTTTATCTAATACCAGTTAAGGGAGTATAAAAAATAAATTTCGCTTTTTTTCCTCAAACTCCATATTCTGGACCATGTATGTCTTAGCTCAACTAGAGCTAAACAGACAGGAATTATCTGAATTTTGGTTTTTGTAAAGAGATGAAGCCTGTATGTCAGTGACACAAAAATCTTATAAGCCGGTTCCTTCACCAGTAGCACTTATCAGCTCCCTGGGCTCTTTTCTAGGGATAGTGACAAAGAATACAAATTTTGAGGGGGGACAGCCACAGCACTTTCCTACTTATCTGGCTGCCCTCTCTGGTGAAACCAATCAGAAAACCTGGAACGGATCAAAACACAGCATTAGAAAAGGCAGAGAAAGCAGCTAGCTAAGGCTAAGGCTCCTGTGAAGTACTAATGCTTGACAAAAACAACCAGTGTGGGCATACATAAACATATAAAGCAGGAAATCCCACAAGCTTAAAAGGGAAGGAGCCATCCTGTTTAAAACAAAAAGAGAGGTTCAGATGATGACATCATCATTGCCCTTTTCCAACAGAAGCTTTGTTTGTTTCTTTTTAATCACTGCTGGTTATATTTCCTATGAGTAAGCTATATTCCTGTAGACAATGGTTTTGGGCTGAAACAGTGTATGAAAATTCTTTGTTACACATTTCTTGTATTAATGTAGATATGCCAGTAATACTGCAGTATGCTGTGAACCCCTATACCAAACCATTATTGAACATTCAGATTATATCATGTTTTGAGAATATACAGAGTAGAATGGTTACTTATGAAAAGGGTATGACATGATTATGCCATGCCATAAATAAGGGGAATTACATTTCCACCCAGTCTGCAGATATTATGTAACTAACTTACCTAGTGGGTGAGGACAGCCAAATCTGCCGGTTTGGTGTTTGTTTATTGATTACATAGGTTCCCATGTCTCCACCCAATTTAACTGTTAGTACTCCACTCTTAAAAGACAAAAAAAGGGAGAAATAAAAGATTTGTATCCTGTTAATTTGACAACAATTACTTCATCTGCAGTGGCAGAAACTTACATACCTGTATCAGTTTCTCAACCATCTCCCAAACAATAGACAGGAATAATACAATAGGGAGAATAATCACAACATACTAAAAATATAAGTTAATACCTAGCGTATCTTTTAGTCTGATCTTTACTTTAAACCTTCTGGTCAGAGTTTGATTTTAGTGTTTGTACCATTCACAATGGTACTACTTAAATAATACTCTTGAGCTTGGACCTGACATCTTAGAAGGACAAGACCATTGCAATTCATTTTGCAATGATTAAAACATCATCCAATAACGACTTTTTAATATTAATGAACAATACAGAACTGGTGTGGTTCAAAGCCAAGAAGCTTTATGTGCCATTGCTAGATTTCTGAGCCACGCAATTTTACCTTACTTTTCTTCAGCAACTGTAACAGTTTAATAGGGAACAAACACATTTTTTTCTTGATAATTCTGATTCATACCCGAAAAAATGTTCAGTTCTAAATACCATGATTCTCATTTTCCATGAGTCTGATTTTGCTTTGCTTATGCCACCTTAATACCATTATTTTAGCGAACATTTATTTTCTCTTTCTTGCTCAAATTTCTTAGTGACACCATGATTCATGTTTCTTATAACTGACAAAAATATTTCCTGTTCTGACTTTAAGAGCGAAAAATGAACATTATTTGGACTGGAGTTAATCTAAAGGTGATCTGAATGATACCAATTAAAAAGGGAAATATTTCCATAGAATGCAATGTGATGATTCAGATAATAATTTATTTAGCTCACAGTATCTCAAATACTTCAAGCCCTATAGAACAAAAAAGCTTCTTTAAGGGTATCATACTTTTGATGCTTTAGTCAGAAGATACTACTAGAGCTACCTATCATTGTTTGGGCTATTTGCTATGTGTAAACACTCACTATGGGGAACAATACTTTCAGGCATGAGTATCTACTGCCTACCAACATACTCTGTAGCACAAGTGGCAACTCAAAGCTTCCTTCCCCTACAAAGTAACTCAGTGTACTGGTTTCTGATATATCTCAAGTATCGCCAGGTAAAAAGTAATACTCTCAGGATCTGATTTTTTACCTTAGCTGCCATGCTGTTTCTGTGCTTAAGGCATTTATATAATATTTTTATGATCAAAACAATAAAAATAAAAGAGTCTCCTGGTTAAAAGTCCCATCAAGTTTGTCCTGCCAGTTATTTCTATTGGACATTAGTACAGTGCACAGAAGGACAAGAACAAGCCACTTTCCTGGTTGTCAGAATTTCAAGTTTTCCACACTTATCTCAGTGGTCTTAGAATCATAGAGATACAGCAGAATAAAAACAGGATGGGGGATTAGACCTGCATAATGATATACAGGTTTCAGCATTCTTCTCTGTAGTTTGTAATGTCATATTAAGCATTCAGCACATTATGTTATATAACGTTATCCTACATGTTTCTACAGAAATAAGTATATAGGTAAATATACGTATAAATATATAAATAAATAGGTTTTCAAAGAGTTAACAAAAATTATACTGCTATTTATACCATGTGTCAGCTGTTAGAGTACTGTTGTTCTATCCTTGCAAAGTAGAGGCTAACCTCTACTGCTGTATTGAAAACACTTCCTCATACATTTCACAGTACTTCTGAAATACTAGAAAATAGAACTTGAATTTTTTAAGAACTTAAATTGCAAGATACTTTTACCACATTTTAAGAAATACTTCTGTACTGTTTTGTACGACTGGATGAATGTTCGTTAGTTCCTTGTAACAAAAATATTCTCCTAAAGAGATTTTTTTTTCTGAACACGAAGATGTAAACGTAATTGCTTTGAGTAATTTATAACAGGCACAGCAGACCTTTATCACATTCGCCACCTTGTGGCTTCCTGCAGCACTGACCCTGTTTAGAATTAAAACCCGGGCTATTTAACCTCCTGCTTTCAACAGAAATGACAGCATATTAATTGTCATCATTCCATCTATATAGTAAAGGGCCATTGGTAAAAGTTAAGATGTAAAAGTATTACCTCTTGAGCTTCACAAGCCAGTGTCAAAACATTACCCACCATAGAGTAGATGGAGAAAAGAATTATGACATGACACATCAGCTTAACATAAGGTAGCGTCTCAGAATACTAGAAAGGTAAATTTCAACCATTGCTAATTCTTGTCCTAGGATAGTTACATCAGGCTAATAGGTGCTGATATCCTAAAACATAGTGAAGAATAATGGTTAAACAATGCTTTTTACCAGAAAAGCAATTAGCTGCAACATTATCTACGTACTAATTAAAGCAACAAGTAGTATTTGCTAAACAGAAAGCTACTGGCAATATACTATTTTATATCGTAGCTATCAGAAATACAGAATGAAAATTATGATGACAAAGCTACAGGGAAGTCGAAAACTACAGACTTTTGTTTCGGTTTTGTATTTTTCACAGTGAAACCCAAACCATCCAATTCAACATCCTGGAGCACAAAACCTTAACTGATAGTGCCAGGAGAAAGCAATCTTGTTTGGCAAGACATGAAGAAGAAGCAATAGTTCTGTGACCTGAAAAACTGCAGTATTGAAAAAACTGTGTAGCAGACAGTAGCGTAGGGATAAACAACACTCTTCTCCAAATCATATCAAGCGCTGTAACACACAGATCACTTCAGGAACTGATACATAAAAACTAATAAATTCCCCCTAACAAATAAAAGACATTGTTATTCTGTAAAAGAATCTGAGTGGCTGACTACCGAAGGCTCTAGCCATGCAATGTCTCCCGTGACAGTAGCCTCCTCCCCATGTATGTTCTGGTCTCACTACTGCAAAAACCTATCCAACACTGCACCCTCCTGTTGCTTCTCTCCACTACAGACTGTCATCAGTAAAGCCAGGATAAACATGCACTACACCTGGTTAAGACAAATGCTTGCTTCTCTGTATTCGGGGTAATCAAAGAAACTGGTCTAACAGTTACATGTGACGTACTACGCCATGTAGGCCTACTGTTCTAATATACACCAGAAGAGAACTGATTGCTATGCCAGATATCTATGCCCGTTTAGGAAAATTTATAGACCAATGTAAAATTAGAAAACAGTTTCCATCTCCTCTTGTGCTTATTTATTATTTTATATTGTATCTTTCTCTAAACATCAAAAGTTTTAAATCCCTAAATCACACAACAGTATGTGCTACTTTTCACCAGAATTGCAGCCCCAGTCAGTACACAATAAAGGTGTAAAAATTCATTGCATTTTCAGTGTCAGCACTAAGGTGACTAATTTAAAATTCTCCTTCAAATAATAGAAAAAAAACCTCTACAATAATTACAATGGTAATATAATGTTTAAAACATACCCCTAAAGAGACATCATAATCTTCTGGGGTAAAAGGTTTATCTGTCAGGTCCTCAAAGAAATCTGCTAAGGAATCCAGTGTTTCTTCAGCCAGTTTCTCATAGGTGGTCTCATCTAAAGAGCTACAAATCACATAAAAGTCTATAATTAGGAGGAAAATTAGAAGACAGCATTTTCCCTATACTAAAAACATACCAAGACCATGACTTTGGATCAAACTGTAACCATGAAATGATCTCATAAAACAAGTAGTCATTTTTTTTAAGGTGATGCAGGTGACAATCCACCTTATAAATGGAGGTGAAATTTTGAAATTAATTGGTATTAGAGATCCCTTAACTGAGGAAAAGGTACTTACTTCCATAGATATACTAACCCCCATTTAGTAAAGAGCATCAAATTTGAAAATAAGGCATTTTCATAAAAGGACTTTGTCTAAGAATTGCTTAGTTTTCAACTCTACAAATAGAGACAAAAGCATGTCCCGTTGAGAAATATATGTCATTTGAGTCTACAAAACTTGCTGTAGCCATACGCAGTTTAGAAATGTCATTGTCACATGTCATGTTTATGCATAGCATTTGCTTTCTCAACTGGAATTACCCACTGGTAATCAGATGTTATTCAAACTATGCTTATGAACTAGCTCTTATGATTAACAGTCTTCTCTGGAGAGTCTCAAAGCACGCTTGTGGCCATTACATAAGGCTTAAAGCACCTGTGAGACCACTTCTCTTTTCCTCTTTACTAGAACAAAGTGTAGAACAGTTTAATTAACCAAATGTAATTAATTCACATAAGTTGTTCCATCTCTATCAGTGTCACCTTTAAACACTGTTTAAAGGGGTCTCCCTACCAACAAATACTTCAATAAAATAATCTCAATTTTTGCTAATACTTACGGCAGTGAAACAGTTACTACGGGCTGAATATATAATATATATAGAAATACTCGCAATAGAAAACGTATCTTCTTAAAAAGTTTCTTATCCAGTAACTGAAATATGCTCTATGTCACTAATGTGAGGGACACCACAAAATGTCTTGGGACATGGAGAACAGAAAGCCTTTGGATTGGGCAGGATTCACACACTGGTTCAGGGTCCACTTTAGGCATTTAAAGACCAGAGCCATTTCAAATATTTGCATAATCCTTTGCTGTGTCTCCAACTGCTGCGTCAGAAGGGGAGAAGTCTCCAACAGATGCTGTGTCACCTCTCAGAACAAGCAGAAATTTCACATCCTCTGGCATACATGAAATGGTGCTAGACACCTGTGTTTCTGTACACATGTTATTTGTCAAATGACTTCCCAAATTCATACAAAATGCTTTTAGCTGAAATGGTAGCTGTCCTTTACATCAAATCAACATTACTTTAGTTTAGTAGTATTAGTATGCATGTAAGTTATTCTAAAAACATAACCAGTATTTTCATACTAATATATCAAAATGCATTTTTACCTTGTGTCACTCACAGTTCCTGCATTTCTCAAATTCATGAACCAAAGAGTCCTGCTCTTCACATCTGAAGAAAATCGTAATTGCTGTTTAAAGTAAGCAGAAGGAAAATGGAATTAAAGTTAAAATGTAAAGAATTACAAACTACGTATTTATCATATAAATCAAGTAAAATGTTCATATTCAGTATCACACGGCTCATATGGAAGGAATTCTAACTTTTCTATTGCTCTACCACAGAATTACCGAGCAACTTCAGACAATTAAATGGCTTAGACTCAGATTTTTGTAAGTATCCACTACTCAAATGCTGCACTACCAGCAACATGTGTCCCTCTGCTGCAAGTCAGGAACATATTAAATTGAAATAAACACAAACCCTGAACCTTACTTACATACGAAGAATCACTTCAGATACCAGATTTCCAAATTATTGAAAAGCTGTATTGTCAGACCAGCGGTATCAGACAAAGGAATCAAACAGGCAATCCCGATGAGGGAAACCAATACAAGCACGAAAATAAAGCTAATCCCCACGTCAGACACAGTGGCAGAATTACTTATGCTATCCATCAAGAAAGGAAGATTTCCATTTTCTTCCAACTGGCACTGAACATTCGGTTTAATTGCAGAACAGCACTCATGAATACTTTCTGGAAGGTTGCATGAATACACATGCAACGTTCTGAAAACTTCACACTGAGCTGAAAAGCAAGCGACATTTGTAAAGGAGCTATGTCAGCCTCTCTTCAAGCACAGAAGAGCAAAATACAGGCCGATCTCTCTCCATGTGGTGTGACATCTATCCGCAGGTATTACCAATGAGTTGCCTGTTAGTCCAAAACCACGACACAGGCAAAAAGGTCAGAACTGCAACAAAACGGTACAGGCCGACAAAATACACCACGGTGCCTACATATTTGACAACACCCCTTACCCTACAGCATTTTATACATGCTTAGAATCAAAAGCTACAAGACCACAAGCACGTTCAAGCTCTGTACAGGCTGAAAGACTCTAATTCCACCAGCGTGTACCCATACTCGTTCTGTGCCTGGAGGCTGCCAAGAGCGGTGCCAGCACACAGCCGCCACCTGCCTCCGCGTACCACACGCGGCTGCGGGCGGCCAGCGCCGCCTTCTGCGCTGGAGAGGGGCAGCGGACGAGTGCACCAGCTCCCGTGTGCACCAGCTCCCGGGGCACAGAGGGAAGGAGAAAGTAGGCAGGTGGGAGAGAGGGAAGGAGGGAGGAGGCCCTGGCTGACACAGACCTGCTCGGAGACGGCGGCCGACTCGGGAATCCACTCCTGCCGCCGTTCCCTCCCTGCCCGCCTGCCCCAGCCGGCGCTCGGCCACGGCCGCCCCGCCCGCCGCCGCACAGGCCGCGCCTCGCCCTCGCCCTCGTCCGTCCGCCCGCCCCTCGCTCACCGTGCGGTCGCTGCCGGCGGCGGCTGTGCCTGCCCTCGGGGCGACCCCGCTGTCGCCGCACCGCCGCGCCCCCGCCGCCGCCGCCCGTCCCGCGGCGCGCACAGCGCCCACCGCCCCCGCCCGCCACATGGCGCCCGGGCCGCTGCGGAAGCGGCGGGGCGGGGCCGGGCCGGCGCGCGCTACCGCCCCCCCGCGGCGGTGCGAGGAGAGCGGCGGGGCCGCGCGGGCCGGGCCGGCAGCGTTGCGTCAGGCGCACGGCAGAGCCGAGGAGAGGGGCCGCGTGTGCGGCTTTCGTCTTCTTCTGAGCCCTTGCTGGCTCCAGCCTCAGCAGCCCTAGGATAAATCAAATACAACTGCTTTGCTACCGAGACAGCACAGGTGTACCGGAGCCGAGCACGGTCTGTCTGCTCGGCGATGTGTCGAGGCGGCGGCGGTTTCCCCGCCAGCCTTATCCCGGTGTTCTTCCCCCGGCATTAGCAAGGCCTGACTTGGCTGTCCCTAGGAAACAGGTGCTGGGCCCGGTGTGCTGCTCAGGTTCCCCTCGGGGAGATCTCGACCCTGACGTGTCAAAAAGACGAGGAGGTGCGGCGGCCATTTAACGCGGCCGCCCCGCTGAGCGCCTTCATCGCTGCGGCCCTCAGAGCCGGCCGTGATCGCTGCTGTTCTCAGAGCCGGCCGTGATCGCTGCTGTTCTCAGAGCCGGCCGTGATCGCTGCGGTTCTCAGAGCCGGCAGTCCCACTGAGGAGGCTTTTACAAGGAGCTGGAGCCTGGGAAGAAGCAATTAGACGCCACACTACGCACCAAGTATTCACTCAGGGACCCGTTCTGGGACTATTTTCTGTGACAGGGAGTGTTCTGATGTACGTCCTGCAGGTAAAATGTTCCGCTGAGCCAGTAAAGGGAAAATAAAAATAAAGATTTATCACACCTGACATTTTCCACTGAGTTACAATAAATGTTGGTGGTGCCATACCATCAGCAGCATGTGAAGATGTAGAGTCTCAGCCAGACATGTCGTATTGTTACTGAAACGGAAAGAAATAAACTAGGTTTGCCAAGTAGATGAGAGGTAAGAAATAATTCTTATTAAAAGGTTTCTTAAAAAGCCCGCACAGTTTCTGTGGAAGCACAAACAACTCACTTCAGACCCTTCAACAGGAAAAGGTCAAAAGATCCAGCCATTGCAAGTAAAACCATAAATATGAAAAGCATACAAGTAGTCAGAAGGTTACTTCTAGTTACTGTGTGATGCATTTTTATGTTTCAAAAACTTTATTAAAGTAAGCAGCTGGGTGCTCTGAGCCACCTGATCTAGTTGGAAGATATCCCTGCTCATGGCAGAGGGGTTAGACTAGGTGATCTTGAAAGGTCCCTTCCAATCCAAACTATTCTATTGATTCTATTAATCTTCCACTGCATTAGGGAATAAATTATTAAGTTTCTCACCAAGATCTGTAATTTTAGAATATTTTTCTATAAGTCAAAATTATTTTACTCTACACAAGGGGAAAAAGCTCAAACAATTCAAGCCACTTGCACAAATTTCAACTGAAATTAGGAAGTCTGTTTTTGCTAAAAGCTGTTTGTTCCAAATTATCTAACTTAGCCAGCTTCTTGTCTCTTTTCAACAGACTCCTGTCTTTCTTTGTTACCAGTGTCTTCCCAGTTTGTATTCGTGTTGTATTTTATGGGGAAGGTTTTCATACATCAAGACGATTTAAGATACTCTTTGCATCCTTAAGAACAACCCATTCTTAGCCCTGCTGGGAGAAGCTACTTACGTTTCTATAGAAATAATGGTTTACAGACTGAGATAAGGCTTGTAGGAACAAATTACTTGTATCAGACCACAGAATACATTGGTAAAGCAAATTACTGATTTTTCATACCTTGGTAGGGAAGGAGGAAAACAGTTAGAAGAACGGAGGAATACCTGTTCTTTTATGTAGTATTTAGTCTATTTAAAGATGGCGCTCATTTATACAGCTTGCTTTTCCTGGAAAAAGAACCTTGGATGTTTTCTGATATCATCCAACTAGTCCCACAGTGATTATTCTCTAGTCATCCAAGTCATACAGAACTCTCAATAAGAAATGTTCATCTTGTGTTTTTAAGTTAATGACAAATCAATGGATTTTCTAAGTTAGTGACAATCAATGTGTTTCTAAGTTAATGACAAATCAATAATTAAATATTTTCTCTAGTACTAGCAATTTCACATACCAAATATTTCAAAAGTTAACTAGTTAACTTTAATTCAAATGTGAAGTTCAACAGTTAATTCAAATGTAAAGTTCAAGTTAGTGAATTTTACAAGATACTACTACCAAGCAAGGATCAGTCACACAGCTTCTAAAGGGCTCAAATTAGGGATTAGCAATTTAAACAATGACTTTCTCAATATTTTTAATCTTGATTCCTGCCCCTTAGGTTAATGTTGGCCGTACCACAATATTGGTATGGTTACCTTTTTGTGCTGATGTAAAATACCTGTGAAGGAGTTCCAGATGCAGAAGCGCTGCAGGGTCAGGCCTCACACATTCAGTCTGCAAAGAGCTGAGTTTTTTTACTTTAAGCAAATGTATGAATCACTGGAAACGTTTCAGCAAATGGCTTTTACGAATAACAGGGGGAGTGTGCTACTGATTGCTCTTCTGTCACTGTCTAATGGAAAGGTTGGGAAAATACCATTGAGTTATATGAACTTAAATTGCCTGAAGTATAAGCAGTCAGCAAGAAAATAGACGCTGGGATATGTGTGCTTTCAAACCATTGAATTGTAGTACAAGGACGCAAAGTGGGTTCATTTGTTTGGCTGGGGGTTTTGTTTGTTTGGAAAACCTTTTGTTTTATATTTTATTAACTGAGGGCAACTATTTGGTGGTACGACCACCAAAGGCAAAACTTCACCTCTGAATGCCGTATGATTAAGTCACAAACTCAAATAACAAAACTTTGGAATTATTCCATACCTTTCTCTAAGCTGGCATCAACCAGTGCTTTTTCATTCTGAGCAGCTTGCAGGGCCAGTTTATTCAGATTCCACTGCCCACAGATAGCCCATGTTTGTGACCTAAGTCTTCTTTGATTCCCATGGCAAATTCGATCTGGAGAAACAGACCAATACTTTAAGATTCCCAGGAGTTGACTGTGCCTTCTGTACATTATTTTTACTTGACATGGCCTGCCTCATCAGCTCTACAGGTATATTTATAAGTCTTTATATTTTCATCAAGTGCTACCAATGTGAAACACCAATGCAAGATGAAGAGAACCAAAATACTTAAACATGAAACTTGCACATCCATACAAACTCCTGTGCTCTTTGATGTTTGAAAATGTATACCATTTTATGCACTAGAGAGCAAAATGGGTTACAAGTTATTGATCATTAACCACACACACACATATACACACATCCCCCTTTTAAGTGCACATGCTTTGGAGAAGGTTTCCCCAGCAGACTCCAGAGTCATATAGGATTTCCTTTTTAAAGTGTTAAACGACTGTTTTGATTTATAAATTACTGGGTTCAAGGGATTGTACACAAAAGATGTTTCAGAATCGTTTGATATAGACATTCTGTTCTTGAATTGTTCTGGACAGAATTGTTGCAGTTAAGTTGTGAATCCTTTGGGTTCTTCCTAAGAAGAAATTA